ATTTATGCTAGTGCTAGTTGGTACTTTTGCAAAACTATTGAGCCGATTTCTACTAAAAAGTTCTAATTTTGTAGACATCAGTTATCGATGTTTCATCGCTGAATCAGCGCTGATTTTTTTAATAAAATTTTAAGGCTGAATCATCGAATAGCACGGAATGAAAAACCATGAAAATTTTTAGATTGTGATAGCAGTTTCTCATCGCTTCTTTTTCACTGGAACACAACCCGCGAATTATCTAAGTTCTCTTGTTTCAACCATCCACGAAGAGGCAGGGACTATGGTCTAGAACAAAAATTAATTTGAACGATATTTATTTCAGTTCTTGTATTAAGAATTGAAAAACAAAGAAAACAAATATTGAATTTATAGATGCAGTTAAATCATCTAGAATATTTTTGTCTGCAAACCTTAAGCTAAAACTTTTAGCACAAGTGTAAAAACAAAAAACAAATCAGAGTTTATCGTTTGAAATCGGACGCTAAAATTTGAATATCCATCTATTTTTATGCACTTTCCTTCTGCTGAACTCTTTCAATCGGAATTTCCCGAATCGACTGTTTCTTCTCTTCTTTCTTCTCTCTCTCGGCGTGAACGACCACAGAGCCATCGTCCATCATCTTTATCGGGGATCGAGAACGCCTGCGAGAAAGTCTTCGTTCGTTTGTGCGTCCCGTCCGAGCTCTGCCATTCCGTGTTTCCCGACATCGTCAAAGTATTTCCCTCCAATTTAACATTCACTTCGTCTGGTTTGAAACCACGAGTATCGACAACCGGAGCCCAGTCGTCTTTCCCGACTCCGGCCGCGTATCGAAAATTCCTCATATTCTCATTGTTGACGCCTGATCCGAAAAGAGAGTTTAAGCTTCGGAAGTCGTCGTATAAGTTTTCTTCGTCTCGGAGGAGCGCCTGGAGCAAAGTGTCCGCATGAGGTGAATGCCAATTTATTCGGCTCGGGTATAGCGCTGCCGATGATGAAGGTCGTCCCCTATTGCTATTTCTGGGTCGTACTAGAAGATACGGATCGTAATCGATGAAGTTTCGCAGCATTTCTAAAAGTTAAGCGTGATTTGTTTTTATTATTTTTCGTGAAAATTTGGAGTGTTTTTGATCGAGCGCAAGAATTGAAGCAGGGATTGAAATTTTGGTTTCTTACGGTAATAAAATTAGCTGATTGACCGAATTTATTGATTGGAATAGAGGTAAACTGTTCCCTTTTTGTATCTGGCACGAGGGGTTACATACCAGTATTTAGACAACCGCGTATTCAGACTGGTCAGTATTTAGACAAATACTGTTTCAACCAATCAGAATCGAGACATAGAACGGAAAGAAAAACCATGAAAAAAAATTTTAGATTGGGATAGCAGTTTTTCATTGCTTCTTTTTCACTGGAACACAACCCGCGAATTATCTAAGTTCTCTTGTTTCAACCATCCACGAGGAGGCTGGGACTATGGTCTAGAACAAAAATTAGTTTGAACGATATTTATTTCAGTTCTTGTATTAAGAATTGAAAATTAAATAAAACAAATATTGAATTTATAGATGCAGTTAAATCATCTAGAATATTTTTTGTCTGCAAAGCTTAAGCTAAAATTTTTAGCACAAGTATAAAAAACAAAAAAACAAATCAGAGTTTGTCGTTTGAAATCGGACGCTAAAATTTGAATATCCATATATTTTTCTGCACTTTCCTTCTGCTGAATTCTTTCAATCGGAATTTCCCGAATCGACTGTTTCTTCTCTTCTTTCTTCTCTCTCTCGGCGTGAACGACCACAGAGCCATCGTCCATCATCTTTGTCCTCAAAGTGTCCATTTTCACATCTTCGCGGATCGAGATCGCCTGCGAGAAAGTCTTTGTTCGTTTGTGCGTCCCGTCCGAGCTCTGCCATTCCGTGTTTCCCGACATCGTCGAAGTATTTCCTTCCAATTTAACATTCACTTCGTCTGGTTTGAAACCACGAGTATCGACAACCAAAGCCCAGTCGTCTTTCCCAACTCCGGCCCCGTCTCGAAAATTTCTCATATTCTCATTGTTCACGCCTGATCCGAAAATAGAGTTTAAGCTTCGGAAGTCGTTGTATAAGTTTTCTTCGTCTCGGAGGAGCGCCTGGATCAAAGTGTCCGCGTGAGGAGAATGCAAATTTATTCGGCTTGGGTATAGCGCTGCCGATGATGAAGGTCGTCCCCTATTGCTATTTCCGGGTCGTACCAGAAGATACGGATCGTAATCGATGAAGTTTCGCAGCATTTCTGAAAGTTAGGCGTGATTTGTTTATATTTTTTTTTCGTAAAAATTCGGAGTGTTTTGTTTTGAGCGCAAGAATTGAAGCAGGGATTGAGATTTTGGTTTCTTGCGGTAATAAAATTGGCTGATTGACCGAATTTTTTGATTGGAATAGAGGTAAACTGTTCCCTTTTTGTATCTGGCACGAGGGGTTACATATCAGTTTTTAGACAACCGTGTGTTCAGACTGGTCAGGATTTAGACAAATACCCTTTCAACCAATCAGAATCGAGACATAGAACGGAATGAAAAACCATGAAAATTTTTAGATTGTGATAGCAGTTTTTCATTGCTTCTTTTTCACTGGAACACAACCCGCGAATTATCTAAGTTCTCTTGTTTCAACCATCCGCGAGGAGGCAGGGACTATGGTCTAGAACAAAATTAGTTAGAACGATATTTATTTCAGCTCTTGTTTTAAGAATTGAAAATTAAAAAAAACAAATATTGAATTTATAGATGCAGTTAAATCATCTAGAATATTTTTGTCTGCAAACCTTAAGCTAAAATTTTTCACTGGAACACAACCCGCGAATTATCTAAAATCTCTTGTTTCAACCATCCACGAGGAGGCAGGGAATATGGTCTAGAACAAAATTTAGTTTGAACGATATTTATTTCAGTTCTTGTTTTTAGAATTGAAAATTAAAGAAAACAAATATTGAATTTATAGATGCAGTTAAATCATCTAAAATATTTTTGTCTGCACAACCTGCAAATTATCTAAGTTCTCTTGTTTCAGCCATCCACGAGGAGGCAGGGACTATGGTCTAGAACAAAAATTAGTTTGAACGATATTTATTTCAGTTCTTGTTTTAAGAATTGAAAATTAAAGAAAACAAATATTGAATTTATAGATGCAGTTAAATCATCTAGAATTTTTCACTGGAACACAACCCGCGAATTATCTAAGCTCTCATGTTTTTTGAACCATCCACGAGGAGGCAGGGACTATGGTCTAGAACAAAAATTAGTTTGAACAATATTTATTTCAGTTCTTGTTTTAAGAATTGAAAATTAAAGAAAACAAATATTGAATTTATAGATGCAGTTAAATCATCTAGAATATTTTTGTCTGCACAACCCGCGAATTATCTAAGTTCTCTTGTTTTCAAATTTTAAGCTATTTTTGCATCTAATATTTTTGTCTCCAAACCTTAAGCTAAAATTTTTAGCACAACTATAAAAACAAAAAACAAATCAGAGTTTATCGTTTGAATCGGACGCTAAAGTTTCCTTCTGCTGAATTCTTTCAATCGGAATTTCCCGAATCGACTGTTTCTTCTCTTCTTTCTTCTCTCTCGGCGTGAACGACCACAGAGCCATCGTCCATCATCTTTGTCCTCAAAGTGTCCATTTTCACATCTTCGGGGATCGAGAACGCCTGCGAGAAAGTCTTCGTTCGTTTGTACGTCCCGTCCGAGCTCTGCCATTCCGTGTTTCCCGACATCGTCAAAGTATTTCCCTCCAATTTAACATTCACTTTGTCTGGTTTGAAACCACGAGTATCGACAACCGGAGCCCAGTCGTCTTTCCCGACTCCGGCCGCGTATCGAAAATTCCTCATATTCTCATTGTTGACGCCTGATCCGAAAAGAGAGTTTAAGCTTCGGAAGTCGTCGTATAAGTTTTCTTCGTCTTGGAGCAGCGCCTGGATCAAAGTGTCCGCGTGAGGAGAATGCCAATTTATTCGGCTCGGGTGTAGCGCTGCCGATGATGAAGGTCGTCCCCTATTGCTATTTCCGGGTCGTACTAGAAGATACGGATCGTAATCGATGTAGTTTCGCAGCATTTCTGAAAGTTAAGCGTGATTTGTTTTTATTATTTTTCGTGAAAATTTGGAGTGTTTTTGCTCGAGCGCAAGAATTGAAGCAGGGATTGAAATTTTGGTTTCTTACAGTAATAAAATTGGCTGATTGACCGAATTTTTTGATTGGAATAGAGGTAAACTGTTCCCTTTTTGTATCTGGCACGAGGGGTTACATATCAGTATTTAGACAACCGCGTATTCAGACTGGTCAGTATTTAGACAAATACTGTTTCAACCAATCAGAATCGAGACATAGAACGGAATGAAAAACCATGAAAAAAAATTTTAGGTTGGGATAGCAGTTTTTCATCGCTTCTTTTTCACTGGAACACAACCCGCGAATTATCTAAGTTCTCTTGTTTCAACTATCCACGAGGAGGCAGGGACTATGGTCTAGAACAAAAATTAGTTTGAACGATATTTATTTCAGTTCTTGTTTTAAGAATTGAAAATTAAAGAAAACAAATATTGAATTTATAGATGCAGTTAAATCATCTAGAATTTTTCACTGGAACACAACCCGCGAATTATCTAAGCTCTCATGTTTCAACCATCCACGAGGAGGCAGGGACTATGGTCTAGAACAAAAATTAGTTTGAACAATATTTATTTCAGTTCTTGTTTTAAGAATTGAAAATTAAAGAAAACAAATATTGAATTTATAGATGCAGTTAAATCATCTAGAATATTTTTGTCTGCACAACCCACGAATTATCTAAGTTCTCTTGTTTTCAAATTTTAAGCTATTTTTGCATCTAATATTTTTGTCTCCAAACCTTAAGCTAAAATTTTTAGCACAACTATAAAAACAAAAAACAAATCAGAGTTTATCGTTTGAATCGGACGCTAAAGTTTGAATATCCATCTATTTTTCTGCACTTTCCTTCTGCTGAATTCTTTCAATCGGAATTTCCCGAATCGACTGTTTCTTCTCTTCTTTCTTCTCTCTCGGCGTGAACGACCACAGAGCCATCGTCCATCATCTTTGTCCTCAAAGTGTCCATTTTCACATCTTCGGGGATCGAGAACGCCTGCGAGAAAGTCTTCGTTCGTTTGTACGTCCCGTCCGAGCTCTGCCATTCCGTGTTTCCCGACATCGTCAAAGTATTTCCCTCCAATTTAACATTCACTTTGTCTGGTTTGAAACCACGAGTATCGACAACCAGAGCCCAGTCGTCTTTCCCGACTGCGACCGCGTCTCGAAAATTCCTAATATTGTCATAGTTCACGCCTGGTCCGAAAAGAGAGTTTAAGCTTCGGAAGTCGTCGTATAAGTTTTCTTCGTCTCGGAGGAGCGCCTGGATCAAAGTGTCCGCGTGAGGAGAAAGCCAATTTATTCGGCTCGGGTAGAAGGCTGCCGATGATGAAGGTCGTCCCCTATTGCTATTTCCGGGTCGTACCAGAAGGTTACATGTCAGTATTTAGACAGCCGCGTATTCATACTGGTCAGTATTTAGACAAATACTGTTTCAACCAATCAGAATCGAGACAAAGAAGAAATTAATAAATAATTATTATTTATTTTGGATTATTTATGTTTTTTCTCGATTCTGATTGGTTCATACAGTATTTGTCTAAATACTGACCAGTATGAATACGCGGCTGTCTAAATACTGGCTGCACTCCGTGCCAGAAGATACGGATCGTAATCGACAAAGTTTCGCAGCATTTCTGAAAGTTAGGCGTGATTTGTTATTATTATTTTTCGTGAAAATTGGGAGTGCTTTTGCTTGAGCGCAAGAATTGAAGCAGGGATTGAAATTTTGGTTTCTTACGGTAATAAAATTGGCTGATTGACCGAATTTATTGATTGGAATAGAGGTAAACTGTTTGCTTTTTGTACCTGGCACGAGGAAACTTTTAGTAAAATCATGAATTTAAAAAGCAGAAATGAGAATATTCTAGAAATTACGTGACGTTAAAATAGGACACGAATGTTCCAGAAGGATTGAAGGAACAAGCTAGCGAATATTAGGCAAATTGTAAAACACTCAGTCCTTTTCCGTTTTCTTTTGCACTATACCCTTGGGCTCTTTTTCTTATACAGACTAATAAAGCCACGGCAAACATTTGGTCTTCATACTCAACCTCGTAAAACTACTCATTACACTAATATATTTAAGCTCGTGTGAGGTAGGGGGGGGGGGGGAAGGAAAAAGAGCCTACCTTTGAGCTTTTACAGACGATTTTCAAGTACACATTGTCCGATTGTTACAAAAATTGGCATCGGAAAGATTAGGCCACGGCAAACATATTTAGTCTTCATATTTAGCTCTGTAAAAAAACTTAAGAACCTCCCTGCTTTTTAAAAATATTTCAAGAAGAATTTCTGGTCAGATATTTAGATTAGAACTTGAGATAAACCATAAAATTAATGCTTATGGGGGGAAGAAAAGGAGACCATTCAAACTGTTCTGTAGTTCCATGTAAATTGTGGCGGTCTATAGATTAATGTGAATATAACAAACGAGAACAAGACTGCTCGCATCAGGGCGAAGCCCTGAATGTTCCGACTGCCTTTTAGGGTTTTTGGAGCAGTAATAACAACAAAAAATTCAATGAAATAAAACAAAATCAAAAAAAAATTTCTAAAACTTGAAATTTTTTATGAAAATCATCCCCCCACACGCCATACAAAGTACAAAAGGATAGATTTCGCTCCTTGTAACAAACCAATTGTGGCAAATAAGCTTCTTTTAACCAATTTGGAACGATTTCTAAGACGGATTAAATATCCGCCTACGCGTTAATAGCACAAAATATATCGCGCGTTATTTGTCACAAATTGGCCAAAATTGCAACCTTTAAACCCCCATAACTTTACGAAAAATGATTACAGGTGAAATATCTTTTTTACCGGATCTTGTTGTTCCGACTTTCAATACGAAAGTAACGGAATATTTGTGCTCGGGGTGGGTTTTTTTTTTCTACAAATTTCGACTTTTTATGTAGCCATTTTTGACGGAACTTTTTATATCATTCGAAATTTATTGTTGTCTTGAGCTTAAATTTGAAAAGATATTTCACCTGTGATCATTTTCCGTAAAGTTACGGGAGTTTAAAGTTTGCCATTTTGGTCAATTTGGGACAATTAACGCGCGAAATATTTCGCGCTATCAACGCGTAAGCGGGGATTTCATCCGCCTTATAAATCGTTCCAAATTGGTTGAAAGAAGCTTATTTGCCATAATTGATTGTTACTAGGAGCAAAATTTATCTTTTTGTACTTTGTATGGCGTGTGGGGGGATGATTTTCACAAAAAATTTCGAATTAAAATAAAAGAAAAACTTATTTTTTATTTTAATTAATTTTTTTATGCTATTACTGCTCCATAGACCTTAAAAGGCAGTCGGAACATTCAGGGAGCAGTCTTGTTAACAATTTCCCCCCTATTGCAATAGCTTAACTGTTCAATTCTTTCTTTATAGGGAAGGAGATTCGTTAAAAGGTACCATAGGGGGGATGGGGGGAGATGGGGAATGGGGGGAGTAGTTAACAAACATCCCCCACTCCCCACCTGCCAATTTTCATTATTTTAATAAGTTTAATTTTTTTCGCATTATCCGATTGTTGTGAAATTGGCATTTCGAGTAATTAGGCAATAACAAGGATCTATTTAACAACCCTCCCCTATTGTATCTACTAAGGAATCTCCACCCCTGTAAATAAAAACAGTAAATATGCACTAGAGGGTTGTAGGGAAATTCGAATTTTGCTGCATTCTGATTGGTCGAAAATTCTTGAAAGGGGGAGATTGTTAAGTAGCTCCAATTACAACTATATTGTATCTTTATAGGTAAACTTTGTCCATTCTCTTGTAGGACCTAAAATTTGATGTATATGTGAGGTGGGGAAAACAGGGCTCAGTAAAAATCAATTGGGAGATAAAATGTCAATTAATTGAAAGGTTTGTCAATTAAACAATTAATTGCTAGTAATTGGTTTCGTTCATGGCTTTTGTCACATCAGTCTTTGACCAAAATTGTTTGTTGACGTTCAGAAAAAGTGCATCTCGGGGTTCATCGGAAACAGACTGATGTGACAGGTCGTTTAATGTAAATCCGGCTTTGCTGGAAATAAGTTCAACAAATTGAACAAATTACACAGCTGCTCACTTGATCTGGTTTCAATTTAATATTGTATAGCGTGCCACCCAACTATAAAAGACACAATTAATTGCAATTGCCTGGCTTTTTTTGTCAATGGACACTAATTGAAAGAAAACTATTGTCAACGAATGGTCGGTCTCCAATTAATTGGTCGCCAATTCACCTTTACTAAGCCCTGGGGGAAGAGCCTTGCAGTTACTTCTTAATCGGGTCTTTTTTTATTCAGATGGACATCGAAGTTGAATCGCTCTATAAAGAGTTCAAAGTTCCATAGCCTAAGGATAATCAACCAAATAGTTTATAAATCAAAATCCATTAAAGGCGCAATTATATCAGTCTCTTGAAATTTCATTTTTGAAAAAAAATTATAACAAGAATGCTCGTATCTGGGCGAAACCATAAATGTTCCGACTTCCTTTTAAGGTCTATGGAGCAGCAATAACACGAAAAATTTAAATAGAATAAAATAAATTCAAATTTTTTATCAAAAAAATTGAGATTTTTTTGTGAAAACATCCCACCACACGCCATATTGAGTACAAAATGATAGATTTTGCTCCTATTAACAAATCAGTTATGACATATAAGCTTCCTTGAACCAATTTGGAACGATTTCTAAGACGGATTAAATCTCGTTTACTCGTTAATAGCGCGAAATATATCGCGCGTTAATTGTCCCAATTTGGCCGAAATGGCAAACTTTAAACCCCCATAATTTTACAAAAAAAAAGAGAGATCACAGGTGAAATATTCTATCAAAGTTAAGCTCAAGACAACAATAGCTTTCGATTGATTTTTAAAAATTCCGTGAAAAATGGCTAGTTAAAAAGTCTAAATTTGTCTGAAGAAAAAAAAACCCATCCCGAGCACATGCATTCAGTTATTTTTGTTACAAAAGTCGGAAAAACAAGGATAGCCGGTTACTGTACAGGTAAAATAGCACAGAATGTTCTGATCATACTCTTTCAAAAACTACAAGAAAAATTTTATTTCAAACTAGCGTGTTGTTTTCTCAATCGCTTGAGGTTCTGAAATTCACAAAATTCTATGTTGAAATTTTTATTCCCGCAGCCCGTAGTTCGTTGATAATATCCAAACAGGAAGCAAATTGACCCGGCTTTTTATGTCTGAAGACAATCAAACTTGTAACGAGTAAAAAAACTGCTCCTACCAGAGCACAACCTGAACGCTCCATCTGCCTCCTAACGACGATCAATTTTTTTAAAATTGAAATCATCATTAAAATTTATTTAATATGTGAAATTTTATTGAGAAAAATTTCTTTATGATATATTTTGCGTCTGATGAAGTTTTAACAGGGAAATATTGATTGCGAGTTCAATTTGGAGTGATTTGAATTGTATTACGCCTTGATAGGGCTAGCTAAACTGCTTGTTAATTACCACTATTTGAACTATAGTCGTCAAAGTAACCCTAAATTGAAAGCATTTGTGAAAAATAATTCAGGTGGTTTTTTTTTGAGCACTGGCAGCGAATTATTCCGACTATATAATAAAGCGAATTATTCCTTCGAAAGTCAAAACAACAAAAAAGGAAACATTGTTCATTCTTATGATCGCTATTGAATTAAATTAACGATTCACAGACAGATTAAATCACTCAGAGCTTTCGAAATGCACAATGAATTGCTCTTTTCTTACAGTTTTGTGCCAAAGTTTCAAGGTAAATAAATGGAAGTTGATCTATTGCCATCCGCTTAGTGGCGTGACGGTTATGCGCGCAGAGGAGTGACATTAAACATTCAATTCTGGTAAATATCGGGTTGATTGCATTATCCGTTGACTGTTGGAACCTGATCTAAACTATATTTTATGATTGGATAAATTAGATATTTTACCACTGTAAAGTATTTAATATTAACCAATCTTGATCCATCTGACTAACAACCCACTTATTTGTAAGTGCTGAAATTACTTGTAGTTTCAGCACCAGAGAGATTTGAATTTAACTTAGAAATTAGTTGGACTCTCCAAGAAGACTTCAGCAGCCGCAATAAACCAGTATACCCTAGATCTATTGAGCCTAGCAGAGACTAGTTAAACAACCTGAGACTAGACAGTATAAGAGTAAGATTAGGATTGGTATTAGACTAAGAAGTTGCACGAATCTATCCGGCCGAAAATAAGATAGCGTGACGAGCAGACGGTGTACCCTATCCGAAATTACT